ATCGAGTATCTCATAATACAAGCTTGATGAAAAGTTTAGTATTTCTGACAATGTTTGTTCAGTTAGCGTGCTAATATCATTTTTTTGTTTTCCAGTTACTGATGTGAACCGCAATCTTGAGGGATCAGTGTTAAGATAAGCAGCGACTTGATTGGCAACCTATATATCGAGTACATTCCAACATAGAAAAATTAGGAAATCAACAATTGAATGTAATAAAAGAAATTATTTGGATAACGTACAGCTTCATATGTCATATTCTTATTTAAAACCAAACTAAATTCAGGTATCAAATCTTTATATCCAAATTTTGATTTAAATTGAACGATGACATTCATTAATAATGATTCATAAAATTGAGGAATACTGTAGATGCGACCTGCGGAAACATGTTCTTGAATTCTATATAAAAGCATATATTTTCTTAATTTTTTTGAAATTTGATTTAAATAAGAATTTAAAATGCTAATATCATACTCTTTATTCGTCAATGTTTTTTGGAAACATATTATATCACCGTCTTGCATCTCGGACTTACTAAAAGTTAATTTAGGCATCTTCTTTTCGATAAAATCTGGTTTGACTTCCTGGATTTTAGTAGACGAGTATATATACGTATAAGATTATATATCTTACAAAATAACGAGTAAAATGTAAATAGTTCACCTCATATATATCCAAAGGCGTATTTTGTTTGAGTTTCGTTTTTTTATATAGAATAGGAAAAATAGTATCAATTTTATGATTTTTCTGAACACATAAATGACCAAGACTTCTGCTCAAATAGATAAAGTTACATTAATTCTCATAAAATAATAATTAAATATATTTAAGTTTAACATACTCTAGTGACTGTGTATCCGGATTAAAATATTTAAGAAAAATGATCATCTCTGGCGGTGGTTTTTTCTGTACAAGTTAGAAAATTAAATAGAATACAAGTTTATATAACAATAGTAAAAGCTAAATAATAATTTTGAGTAATAAATAACCTTGACGTTTATCGTTATTGGTTTTTCCAATATTTCCATATATAATCTCAATTCACCATCTCCCTCTGATAGTTTTGCTTTAACTTCTTCCATCGCTAGCATTAATAAAAAATAATTTTTTTTAAATAATTTTGTAAAGGAAATTATGAAATTCATCAAATAAAAATTAGGTAATATATATTGCAACTCACATTTACCAAGAAAATTATCAATTATAAGCTTACGAGGTCTAACAGTTTTATTTTGTAGATTTATCATTACCCAGAACCTTATTTGATCAGCAGGAATTTTAAACTTTGCAGCGATCGTTATCTTAAAATCATCATAAGTGTCTTTTTTTAAAAATTTAATTTGAAAAACTTCAGATAATGGATGTTGCTCAGCATTAAAGTTAGCAAGATCAAATCCTTTGTGGTTTTTAAGTGTATCTTCAGTTAAGACCTAATAATGACGAAATGAAACTAACTTTAATAATCTTTAATCACAAATTCTTTTTCAATGTATTAAATAAAATTACCCATATTTGCATGTTTTCTGCTAATTCTTTTTTCTTCTGTTCCCGCGAAGCCTTTTCTTCTTTACCTATTAAATAAAACATAGCATGATTAAAAAAAAAGAATTATTTATAGCTACAAATAAATTCCACTTACACAAATGTTTTGGGAGATCTTCAGGAAGCATTGAAGATAATATCTCATTGATATCAGGCTCGCGAATATATACTAACAAATATGCATTATTATACGGGCAATCATCACCACCGTAATTATTTTCAAGCACTTCTTTGACTGATACTGGTGTAACACGAATACCATCAAATTTTATCCTAATTATAATAAATTTACATAATCAAGTCTCTATTAATGTAATAAAATTGGGTGAACATAAATTTAACAAACCATCTATGATTCCTTTCGGGTCTTAATAATGCATAATACCGACAATTATGTTTATTCGAACCACCATGAACAAGCACACTAGTTACGATAAAAATTCCGTATAAACTCAATTAATATTATCCAGGTAAATTCTTAACAGAAAATTACAGAAAAAACTAATTTTAGACAAACCCATGTAATAAGTATTTATGCGATTTTGACTTATCTACATCTGGTGACAAATATTTTTGTAAATCAATTTCCATGGGAAATTCATAACGATTATTTATCTATATAATAAATTAATATTGTCAAAACAAGGTGCAAAATAATGATTAATATTTAAAATAGTTAAAATTTTATATATTTACATATACATACTTTGACCCTAGTATTGCTCTGCGTATCATACTCAAACCGATCCAAATGTATGTGCAATACAGGTGGAAAACTTTCAAAGATTACACTTTTATTAGCAACCTACAAATATACATTAAATACAGTAAAATTCAATTTATTATTTGTAATGAAAATAAGTAGAATAAATAAATAAATAGAATTAAAAACTTACTTGCAAACCATACCCTTCAGCATCATATTTATTGTCTCCCTCTAAATTTTCTTGCATATATTTCATAAAAGAATCATCTAAAGTTTTACATCCTTTAACATTAAGTTGAATATCTATAGGAAATAAATTATTATAAAATTATTATATATGCAGAACTCTTTGGTTAACATTTTAGTGTTTCTCATATACCATAATAATCCTCAATACGTAAGGATTCATAATCTACATTAACGCATTTAATGTAAGTTTTCATCTTGCCACCAAAAAGTTTAGAAATCGTGCCATCTGCTTTTGTGTTCTAGAATTCCATGTAAAAAATTCATAAAAATAAATATAAATGTATATAATGCTGTAATAGTTGAATATTATAATGATATAAGTGCTTCACCTTTAATTTATCTTCAATATTGTCTCGTAACACACCAATAAACTTTCGAACATCACTTGTAAGAAATATATTCCATCCAAAAAACTTTGCTAATTCTGTTGTTTGAGCTGAAGAATCTGAGACATTTAAATCATAAAAAATCTGCTGTAAAGCTGAACCAATGCTCTTTGCTGATTTATCATTTTCCATAGGAATTTGATAGACTGCCTATAATTAAAAAAAAGTATTGTTTAAGATCAAAAAATAAATAATAAAACTAAAAGATAAAAATTTGATAGTAATAACAGACCTTACGAAAATATTTTATAAAGTAGAGTGATTGTATTACTGAATTTAAGAAAGTATTTACTTTTAGATTTTTTAAGCCTGTATATCCAGGAGAATATTTCCTATCGGACCATAGTGTGCCAGTTGGATCTTCCAGGACACGAACTAGTGCCGTAATGTTACAAGCATCATTTTCAATTAGCGGATGAATTCGGTCATCAGATGGGGTAAACAACTTATTCTGGTCATAAAATTTTCCGAAGCCCCAGTCGGATTCTTGGGCAGTAAAACGATGATATGCATCTGCAAACATTGATTAAAATGAATGAATTGATACACTAATTATAAAGAGTGAATAATTTAATGATATATATACAATGGCCAACGTATTCTGTCGGTTCTTTCGAATTCCATAAAATAAAAGCGAATTGCACACAGACGTGCAAATCTGCATATTCTACTTGCGAATCAACGGATTTTAAATAAATTGAAATTTTGCTTAAATTTTTATTTCCATAAGGAAAAAGCAAGATGCGCCTAAATTTATAAATTTTAACAGATTGATCAATTAACGAAGAATTGGTAAAAAAACTCGACACAAAATTTTATTTTCACAATTTTCAATGGAAAAGATAACAATTACTAATTAATTTTACAAGATTATATATTCAAATATTAAAATTGGCTTAAATTGTTTTTAATTCAATATGTCAAACAAATTTACATATAAAATTTTTGTACATTTCGATTTCTTTTGCTCTCTCGTATTTATTTACATATAATTCAGAATAAAAAAGTATTTTATATATATTATCATAATATATATATTAATATAGAAACTCACCATTGCCAACCTCCAGCCTCGAATTTAGGACTTGTCGTCTTCCTTTCTATATTACTCCAATTAGTGACATGCCACGTGTGGTACTGGAAATCCCGGATTTTATAATCAAGATCGGGCATAACTTTATTTGCGAT